AGAAATAATCAGAAAATATATTGTATTTAGATAATTTGATCCTCACGTATAACTCGAGAATTATTTAAAATTTGTTTTACCTTTAGATCGGATAGGTAATATTTCGTGAGTAAATTTTGGAGTCCGCGTACCACGGCTTGCACAAATGTCGGGAATCCGAGATGGCTGCAAGTATGAAATGGGCGGCAAGTTCGAGTTAAAACGATATATTTCGTGATCACATGCTACAACTATTTGAACTATGGTAAAATGGGCGACAAGTTCGAGTTAAAACGGTATATATCTTGAACGTCTGCTATAACTGTTTGGACTAAGGCGACGCTTCGAATGCTTAAAATACTTAGGTTAATATACTTAGGTTAAACTAAGTCAGTTACGGACACTTTGCACTAAGAGAGAGTAGGGAAATGATATATCGGTCATTTTCTGCACCATTGTTTAGGTAGTTGTAGGTATTCGTATAGACTTGAAACGAACATATCAAATATAAAAATCGCATTTATTAGGTTTCCGGTGCGTATATCACAAGCATTTAGTAAACCTAATATATCCTTGTGGTAAGCATAACAATAGTCTTGCATAAGAGTGCTTTATACGACACACTTAATGAAAACAAAAAAAAAAAAAAAAAAAATGTTGTGTCGTCCAATTTCACTAACAAAGTATTTAATATTTATTCACTAAAATGCATGCATCCATAAACATTTCAAATGAAAATTTTCTATTTTATTTACCGGCATTTGGTATACAATATATATATATTTTAAAAATATCAGAGTAGAAGTGTACTTCTATTTGCTTATGTATATTTAATACAAATAAAGTGCTCTTATACATAACTATGTACCAAGGAATCAAATAAAAACCAATACTTGTATTAAGCAAAAAAAAAAAAAGCAGAAAAAACCAGTAGAGGATTTTTTAAACGAGAGTGATATGATTTGAAAAACACTAAAAGAATTACGGAAATCAAATCATTTTTGTTATACATTGGATGAGCTTAAGCAATTTAAAGACCTACCACTGTTACTTTTACAAAAACCGAGACCAATTAAGCCGATCGGACGAATTTGACCAAAAACATATACAATACTCGCTTTTAATGCATGGATAGTATTGGGTTTACTTATACAGGCCCGCAAAGAACTGGCCTAAAGGTGCTAAATCGCGGTTCCTAGAAATGGAACGATATACTATTTTATATTATCGCGCAATTGATTGTGTGATAAGGCATTTGGTATGTTTTTTAGAGCAAGATCCTACTATTTCTAGCATTGTGTTGAGATCGATCTATAACGTTCTTCATTCACGGACAAATAAGAACTAATGCCAATGCCAACCTAAATCAAAAATTCCTTGTCAGGGAATATATAGTCGTTTATAATTTCTAAACTGACTTTATATCAAAAACGATCATTTCGCTGATGCGATAAAAAAAATAAATAAATAAAAACCCCATCAGTCTCTTGTTAGGTCTTTAGATTTTCTTTTTTTTTAATATGACCAATCATGTATTCCTCTAGAGGTGACGATTGGAAAGAAGTGGGAAAAGGACAAAAGAGACAGGGAATCGCCGCAGCAGAGTGCATGTGTGCCTAGCCAGTAAATGTTACTCCTTTAACGACAAAGCACCAACCATAAGCTAAGACCAAGTATGGCCTAATCGCGCCAAGATTTGTTCCTTGCGAACAGTTTGTCGCAATCGTTACCATCAATTAGTTATCGTTTTGAAATTTTGTCAAAGTGAAATCGATCAAGTCGACGACGTTCGCATGAAACTAGCAATCTAGGTCCATGCATTATCGCGAGATATTGCAAGTTGAACTTGCAGATAGTCACAGTTATTGAGAATGTTTTGGTAACAAAGAAATTTCGATTTTCAGTGAAACTTGTCTGAACATACGAGGTAAAGTTGTTTTTACTTTGAACATTTCTTTCTCTAGCCGTTACGTCAACATAGTTTAAGAAAAAAGCTACGCTCGAAATTGTTATTGCGACGACGATCAATTCGTAAAAGATCACGACAAGTCTGGTATACGAAAGGGATGAAAAAGTAAGGAAGGCGTGTCCTTCTCGGGGATAAAATTTGCAAACATTAATGAACATAGCAAACAGGGACAAAACAATTTTGACAGTAAAAATATGTTCGCAATGAAACACTTTCTTGTTAGAATAATTAAATCAAAATCTTATACCGTTTCTTTAAGTAAAAAGCGTTCATTAGCCTGCCGTTATCAAGTAATCACATAATTTTCATATGGACTATATATGATCAAAAATAGCGAAACCCCCTATTGTCACTGTGAGGTTAAAGATAAACGACCCCACCATACTTAAAATCGTGATAGACGGAATAAGGATTGCAAAGACTCTTACCACATTTTCATTTCTAAGTCCCATGAACCAACAACGTATTCTTCATCCAGGAATGACATAATGAGCGTAAAAATTTACACGAGAAATTTCGGAATCAGAAACGCTGCACCTTTACACAATTAGATATACTACAGAAAATCTTCCTCCGAAACCAAAGCCTCTCGTTAGTATTACTAAGTTTCCCGTAAACGCTTGTATTTGACCTTTTAACTGACCCTCAATGGTCCCGCATGCTGTCAGAGTTATTAACAAAATATATTTACAAAAGCAATAAGATGTGTTTTTTTTTTTTTGCAAATATGTCGGCGAGTGTTGCATTCTTCTGAAATGAACTGTGATATTATTGTTACTTGATTTTACTTTGCAAGTAAGAAAAGCTTTTTTTCGTATTATATATGTTTGTTGCATTTTTAATAAAAAATATAAAAAAGAGTAAATAGTAAAATTTCTCTTACGTTTTAAATTTATACAGAATTTGTATTTTATGTATTTCCTTAACTACACAACAATAACAGCAACAAAAGCAACAACAACAACAGCTTAGAAGCAAAAAAACTGTAAAATACTATCGTCGCGCATTCATAACTAAATGCAGAGGAAACGTAACACTTTCATCAGACATATGAAACGTGATTCATACTTGTAAGCATTTATGCATGTGCTTACACACACACACACACACACACATACACACACACACACATACGCAAATGAGAAAATAAACCTTACTTACATATTCATTTATTCAATATTTTTCTAAACGACTTGTTACGTACGTATGCTTGAACAATTTTTTTTTTTTTTTTTTTTTTTTATTTTTAAATGCACGTAAATAGTGAGTAACAGTATTATGTATGCACCACATGCGATAATCTGAAGGAAGTAAAGCCAAAAGAAGCAAGAAAAACATTAAAAAAAAGGACACGAGATCATATAATAATAGTAAAACTGTTTTGTAATCAAGAACGGAAAACAAAAACCCGAGACAGATATTCATGCTTGTACGTAGAAGGTGGCTTACTGGCGTGTCAGAGTGTTTTAATATTTTAGCGACATACGAAAGCAAAAAAGCACAAAACATGAAGCAGACAATCAAGTGCCGTTAAAAAAAAAAAAAAAAAAAAAACCGAATATTTCTCTATCCGCAATCGTATTGTAATGCATTAAATTGCCATGAATTACGGTAGAAGACTTAGGCAGCATCTATATTATCTTTTTAATCTTAGCATTTTTTCATCTATTAAGTTGATCATCTATCGGCGCTAACGTGCAAGGAGTTCAATCATGTTCAATCAATGCAAAAAAAAATTACATTTGAAAGTAGTCAAAACAATATGTAAGGGAGTAGCGAACAGAGTTCTCGTACAAGAGAAACATAACTGCATTTAAAGGCAATTGAAAGACACTGCAAGTACAACGTAAGGACTCATTACTTTCTTTCCACTACTTATTTACAATGCTTTGAAATTAAAAACTCTCCCAAAAGTAGACTACATGGGAAAAACCAAATTTCTCTATTACTTATCACCAGTGATTTCTTCCCTTTGGAACTTCAAGAAACTAGAAAATGTATACATTGTAGATCAAAGTAAAGTCGTGAGACGATGCTATAATGCTTGGCTATGTCTCCGTCTGTCTGCCTATAATGACAGTTTTCAATGTAATATCATGGAACGCCCAAAATTTCATTTTCAAGATTCTTTACCATTGTTGATTGATTTGAAGAAATCTGCTGCCGAAGCCAATCAAACTCTTCTAGAAGCTTATGTGGATGCTGCCCCATTATATGTCATTGCCAGTTTTTGTGGTATGGTGACTTTGTGCCAAAGATCGGCCTGACGAAGAACTAAGAAAGATCGAAGACATTGAGTTGCAAGACTTATTGGACGAAAATCCAGCTCAAACTCTCAAGGAATTTTCGTACAACTTAGCAACCAATAAATCAACAGTTTCAACCACATTACACCAATTTTTCTTAATAAATGCCTTTTTCAGGTCAACAATCGACAATTTTCCCCTTCTAGGTTCTACGTTCAGTAGGTTCTTTCCTTTTTTTTTTTCTATGTTCGCTTAACTTTCATCAACGTATTGTAAAGGCATTCAATTTGGTCGTCGGACCCAACTTCGGGGTCCATCACAGGAAATCGTGGGCTAATTGGGTCTGTGCGGTATGTAACTTTCATCCGTCCGTTCGTCCGCATATGGGTTACAGCACGCATACATCTTTGGTATAACCATCTGCGGGATAAAAGTTGAAGTCTTTCCCCTCATATCTTACGAACTAGCTAGTTTGTCAAGGACACGTACGTCCATCATTTTACTGCCTCCTTTCAACTTTGCGACTTTTTCGACCTTTTAAAGCATTCGTTTATGTTTCTATTTCTATCTTTGATTATCAGGAAAAATTAAAGTGAAAAGAGGTCCAATTGACATAGAAGTTTGAGATCGTTACACAAAAGTATCCAGATTCCAATATGAGGCCCAGAAGTAATGTGTTTCAATAAAAAGTCGAATCAATTAAGGACATACATATCGCGTTCGTTGCAAGTCCCTTCATCGACGACCATATATGAAATTGCAAAATTGAAATCAGAAAAATTAACTAACTGACTACACATTTAGTTTATGCCATTTATTAAGATTTGTTTTTATTTGTTTTTTTAATTCCAATTCTTTCTTTTCCTTCCTTCCAATCTTTTCAATGCATTATTAAAAGATTAAAATCTATGCATTGACCGATTCATCGGTGTTGTCATAAGGATAAGGTGAGCTGGGTGGGACTGAGAGTATTGGAGTCCAATACCATTGATTCCATGGCACGCAGGCTTTAACATCATCTAAATATCCTTCAGTATTAGGACAACGTTGGAATATACCCGGTTTTCCTTTTGTCACGCACTTCCAGTAGGCCGTTTTGTTTTTGAAATGACGATAATTAACGACTTGCATTTCTTCATCAGTTTTACAACCCGGTTGTCCAGTAAAAATGAAATTGGCTTGGACAACAGCCAATGTAGCAAGAAGCAACACAACAACGGTTAAAGTTTGCATTTTATTTTGCTTGGTGTGAAAAGCGGAATAAACTGATTTCGAAAATAATTTGCGATAGTTTTTATATGTTTTCTTCTTTGCTGTAAGAAAAATTTGCCAGCAAACAAACTGCATTAGTATTTACTAATAATTTTATCTAATACTTTTATCTTTATGGGCAACAAAATTTTTATTTTTCTGATTATGAAAAGAAATATAGTACACTGTCGAGCAATCGTATATATTCATTGACTCGATCTATTTTTCTTTCTCTCTCTCTTTCTCTCTCTCACTCGCTCTCTCTCTCTCTCTCTCTCTCTCTCTTTCTCTTTCTCTCTCTCTCTTTCTCTCTTTCTCTTTCTCTCTTCCCTAAAAGACTTACACTTAATTGTTAAATGACATTAATTGTCTAATTCCAACAACCTAAATTATACGCACACACACATCCTTCTTATCTGTCGGTCCAACTGCTCGTCAGTTAAACCAATTATTGTTAGTTTTTAAAAATTGATCTTTGAATTGAACTAAAACTGAACACATAGTACAAGCTATTAGCAAGAGCCAAATAGAACATAAGTATTAAAATTTTGGGATTAGTGTCATCTGTGTTCACTGTTATCAAGCAAAAATAATAAACGAATTAAATTTCGTGGTGGAATTTAGCTCAAACACCTGGCACAAGTTAAGTAACATATTTTTAATTACTCCTCTTATAGGGAGTGCATCCATTTAATTATCCGTTAGTGTACACTTGTGTTCCAAGTTAAGTAATAAAATTATTTTCTTTACATTTTATTTAAAAGTTGTAAATGATTTTCTAAGAAAAGATAGAAAACATTTATAAACATTTTTAAAATGAAGATATTTAATGCTTTGTAAAAGTTTTCAAATTAATCATAACAATAATAATAAAAATAATAATAATGTAATGATAGTAAATACGTAAATATTTAATCGCAATTTCCGCAATAACCTTGAGACATTTTTTTTTATAATAAATAATGAAAGCGAATGTTTTTTAGAAATGCTCTTAAAACATTTCTTAATATATTATATACTTTCGAATATATTCGTGTAAACCAACTTAATGACGTCATGAATAAGGGGGGAAGTTAGTCTAGTTAGAAATTCATTACATTTATTACCAGTGATCGTATTAAAATACTACAGTGTATGAGATGCAAGTAAGCAAACCACAATCCTCAAAAACTATCATTTCCGCTTTCATTATTGCTGTCCAATCAAAGAAACATATTGATCGACCTTACTTCAGCAGAGTACTTATCTCAAAGAAAGTTTCTTGAGAAAATACTTTAAGGTAATATCTCTTTACGCACTCAGCTTCTATTAGTGGTTCCGCAGCTAAATTCCGACATACATCATACGTAGCTCTAGTTCACTTTCTATATGCGTCAAACATATGAGGCACCTTGCAATCACGTAAACTGATGAAAGTACTTTTTCGATGTATTTAGCTTTTTAGCTGTCCTAGTAGTAAAAATATATCGCAAGCAGTACGAGATTTTCAGCTTTTGACGCCTTTGACCTACACGAGGAAAAAATTTCCGTAACAGGTCGCCGAAACAAAATTACAAGATATAGCCAATTTTCATCGCTTCGATTATATAATAAATAAGAAAATTGTATTCAGTGGTAACCCACTACTGTTATCTTAAAAAAGGCAAAAAAAAAAAAAAAAATCAAAGAACTATATTTTCATATCCTGCCTATAATAAGGAGTGGATTCGATTTGTTTTTGCCGCAATTTATAAATAGTAAGCATAGTAAGCGTGATCCGACATAGGAAAGTACCCGAGATACAACCATTAATTGTATAAGTCATTGTAACAATTGCTGTCGTATCATAGAATGTAATGAGAATAATAATTTTCAACTTAACTTTATAATCGCTTTGTAATCGTCGCCAGTGACCGAATACAATAAAATTAAATTACATTGTGCAGTAAACTTGCACACGCAACTGAGACACATCATTGCAAAAGCTAGTAAGTGTTTATAAACACTTTTAGTTTACACTAATGCAAAATATTTCCCGCAATGCAATTTCTTTTAAAGTAGCCAAGCTGTGTTTCCATCCTATTTAAGGCTGATAAAAACAAGTCAAGCAATGCAAACTAACAGCCGCCCACAGATGCACATAGACAAATTCACAATTCACTTAAGAAAATTACTAAGAAAGTTGCTCTTGCCGGTGACGATGTCATCTAATGATTATATTCTTAAGAGCTAATGGAAACAACTACTTGAAATTTGTGAGACAATTTCAAGAGCAAAGGCAAGAAAAACTATATTAATATAACCAAAAAAATGTTCATAGTCAGAGGAGAATATTTGACGCATACGATATGATGATGATGATGGTGATCTAGTTAGCAATCAGTGTACTTGCGTTATGATCTGATAATAATATTAATTGCAAATTATATAGATTATGAGTAAAGCTTTCAATAAAACCGATAGCCTCAGATGCTAAAACTTTAAGACTTAAATCTTAAAATTTATTTCACTGACTAAATGATCAGCTTCTCTAAATGAAAATACACAAAATCAGGCTTCAGATGTTCCTCCATAACATAATAAGATTAACTATCAGCCTGCTTTGTCATAAGTTAGTAGACTTGAGGCCAAAACAAATAATTCGATCTTTAGACCTCCTTTATCCTCAATTTTCGCTGGGAACATTGAAATATTGAAGAACTGCTTCGGCCATCGGGGGCCAGAAGCCGATGCAAGTTTCTCAGGGAAGCTGTTTGTCATTGACCAATTTTTTATTTTATACTTATCGTCCAAATTTACGGGGATATTAACATCAACATATTGTTTTAAATGCGAACTTCTGTATGGCAAGAACCACATAAAGAACTTATAGATCCGATCAATATATATCATGTAACAAAGTATATTATTATCAACTCACCTCCATTTTCTTCAATTTTCTTTTTCTATCAATTTCTTTTACTGCATATATATTTGTTATAGGCAGTCCTTTTTCAATTTTAATACCCTACACAATTTGGGGAACCAGTTTGTGCGGATACGTGCAACAACCACAAATACTTGAAATAGATTCGTCTTTTATTTTATATATGTTCCCTTTTGATGGCGCATATCCGAAATTTTTTCTCAAAAATATTTCATTTTTCAATTTCTCTCTTTTCAAATCATTTGCTTACGCTTTTTTTAATTTCATGTCTTTGACATATACTAATCATAATCCATCCATGACATATAACATGATTTCATCTGTGCTCTCATTCACTTTAGTTTACGAATTATTTATTAGTTGATCATCAGCAACATGCAACAGTCCACAAATATAATGATTATATGTCTTTGCGAGCGGATGTGTATGGGTTTGTGTGTGTGTGTGTTTGTCTTCACTAATGTTTTGTTAGTAATATCTGTTTAATATTTGCTGTGATGCATTCCTGATAATAAGTGTTTTCATCCAATTCCCTCGGGATGGTTATGATTTGTGATGGCGGTGGTAACGCAGCAAAGCGAGTTTAACCGATGCAATTAAGTGAAATAAACTTATCTTGCGATTTCAAAAAAAAAACAATTGCATAGAAAATATTTTGGGTCTCTCTCTTCTACCAATCATAGGATAGCAGTTCATGTGTTTATACGAATATAATTTTGAAAAATTTATGATGGGACGACCTTCTTCTGCAATCGACCAAAAACTCGATTGTAATGCATGTTTGTGATCTGATCACATGCAGAATTACAATAGATTCAAGCTAGATTCAACGCCTAGTCTAACGCCTCGTACTAGTGAACATATTTTGGGAAGCCTGCCATCCAAATATTTGTCGACACTACCTGCATTTCCGGTCCAGAAATGGTCCCAATTAATTTGTTAATGCAGCCACCAATTAACGAAAAAATATCAATTCATTAGAGAACGATTCTTCATCTTATTACCATTAGGAATATATATACCTTTTTGGAGCAGTGCAAATTTAAAATTTCAGCTAATAACACAAAAATAAATTAAGCGAAATAGTTGCATATATAAGATAAGTTTGCTGAAAAAAGACACATATTTAGTCGTTTGTAACATTATCTGCAAAATTAAAAAACAAAATAAAAAAAATTTTCTGAATTCTTCGACGCAGTTAGCTGGTTTGTAAATTTATATTTAAATTGCGCCATTTTATATATACATCGAGTGTATGTGTGTGTGTGTGCAATGCATGGCAAATACATTATAATACATAAGCTGTAACAAACATTTTTGGGTTTACCGGGCGTATAATTATTTATAAATATTTATTAAACACTTACGTGAACAAAACGTTAGCAATACAATCCTAGAACAAGTGTACGTAGGTACGTATGATTAATTGTAAATGTTCATTAAACATACTGAATGAGTGAACACATAAATAAATAATGCCCCCTGGCATGGCGCACACAGTTTACATATTGCATTTTCAAATTGAAATACATTTGAGATTATTTTCAACTCAAGTCAAACAAATTTTAATTAAATAATAGAAAATTGTTTGTAATCGAAACAAATTTAGCTGCGTAAATGAAAATAGATTCATGAAAAAAAAAAAAAGGACAAAGTAGTTGGATAGTGGAAATATGGAAAAGTTTAACTTCAATAATGAATTACATAATATATTCGATATATGATGATCGATACTAACTTATAACATCTTTCCATTAACACTAATATTACCGTTAGTAATATAGTTTGTTTGGCCTTCATTTAAATTTTTGAATAAATTCATTTCGAAATTTTTTTTTTTTTGCTTTACATTAATATGATAATTACTGCTCAAAAAGAAGAAAAATATTTGTAAATTTGGAATTATTCAATCATTTCTTGACAAGCTTCGAGAAAATATAAAATTAATTTTTTCTTATCTTTTGATTGTTTTTTTTTATTATTCTTATAAGTGAATAAATTCTCAGTACACCATCTTGAAAATACTAATCTAGATTGTCACAAATAACTAAATTTCTCTCAATGGATTCTTTTCGCAATTCTTTTGCTCTTTGCAAAAGCATTGCATTTCCCTTTCATA